CTCCCCTTTACTTGGCAACTGGAAAATGAAAATGTGGAAGAATTTTCTCAGCGTGTCTACTTCCTAGCATTAGATGGTTATGAGAGCTGTGAAGGGAACATGATTGAGGAAATAGCAATAGAAACTTTTCTACGTGGCTGTCAAGATAAAGAAGCTGCTATGAAAGCTATGGATAGAGAACCAACAACGCTCCAGAAAGCTGTAAAGTATGTGAAAACAGCCTTTGCGAACCATCGTGCTTTATATGGGACCAGAGGAAGCACCAGAGTAGCCTCCTATTCTTAACGACAAGTTTCATTCTCGAACAGGGAGGGATCCCCAGCCAGTGAACCTTCTCCTCGTAGGGCTGATACTAAGCTCTCTAAGGAAGACAACAACAATTCTCTGGATAAGCAAATCTTATACCTTACAACTTTATTTGAGAAATTCACCACAACAATTCAGCAATCCTTTGGCAGAAATCAGAGTAGTTCACCACTATTGAAAGTGCGTTTCCTAGAGAGATCTCGAAGTCCTAGTCGATCATCAGCCAGGGGCCAGCACTTCTCGTCTCGAAACAAAGGTGATAACAATACATCAGATGAAGCGAGAAGCCCAGTGAAGGGCAATTTAAACAGAAAAGGGTCAAGCAAGTAGGCCCACACTTGACCCCTGATAAGAGTGGCCTTGGAGGTAACGTTGTTACTATTAGGAGGACTTTAGGAAAAAGCATCAAACTAAATGTCACCATAGGAGAAAAGGCCATTAATACAATTGTTGACACAGCTGCTATGATAACCGTTGTCAATGATAAAATAGTGCCAGACAGCCAGATAGCTACATCTGAGTTCATTAAGCTTAAGGGGCTAGATGCTGAAATAGTGCATGGAAGATTGCTCAAAAATGTTCCTCTTAATATCGGTGATCTTCATGTAACTTGGGACTGCTGTGCGGTATCAATGGACGTTGACATGATCCTGGGACTAGACTTTCTGGAGGCCAACCATGGGATCATCAACATTAAGAAGGGAGTGCTACTTCTTAAGGGCAGGAAATTTCCTATAGAGTTGATATCCGACCCACCTGAAGGGCACCAAGGCTCGCGTATCTGGATACGGAGGACAACATGTGTACCACCTAACAATTTCGGCAAAGTATCAGTCCAACTGGATAAACCGTTATCCAGTAACTATGTCTTTCCCCGTCAGTGGGAATCTTGGCAGGCACACATGTTGGATGCCCAGAACATATCGGTCTCCTTTGGTATCCACCCACATGTTGCTGACCTGGAAGAGCAGTACCTTGACAGGCTCATGGACTTGGTAACACATCAGCGTTGTGTAGCCATTGGAGAGGTTGGCATCGATCTCACCACCAATTGCAGATGCAATACCTGTGTGAGGCCAGAGGCATGTAAGGAGCGATTGTTGCATACCCAGCAGGACTTTTTAGCAGATGCCCTTAATTTGGCAAGAGATGTCGGTAAGCTGGTCATTCTACACTGCAGGGATGATGGATCCGGTGAGGCAGCCAAACGCACCTTGGCCATGATCCGCATGATGGACATGACACACCATGCTTTCCATCGACATTGCTTCACAGGTTCTGTGGAGGAGCTACGCCAGTGGGAGATGGAATTGCATGCAGTAAATTTGGAGTCACAATGAGATCAGCGCAGGACCCAAATCTGGTGGCCAGGATCCCAGTTGAGCGCTTATGTTGGAGACAGATGCTCCATATTTATTGCCAGCTCCTGGATGCAAGATGAACCACCCCTGGAACTTAGCATCTCTTGCTGCGCAAGTTGCTTCTATCCGCAACACACCTGTTTCATTTATCCTGGAGACATGTAACAACCATGCCAGGCAGTTCTACAGATTATAATTTTTTTTTTCAACATGTCCATCAATTATATAGTATATTTTCTGTATATGTGTATATTAATTACTTCAGAATTTTTTTTATGCAAGTGTATAAACGCATTATATATTTTTCATGATAACTCTACATTTTTTTTACAACATGTATAAGTGAAGGGATTATGTCTCTCACCGGTACTTTGTTAAAAAAGTAATCATGATTGGGCAGTATTTGTATATTTTCGTATTTTTGCATGAGTTGACGTTTAGATGATTTTGTACAATATTGGGGGTGGATTTTTCGAATATAATTACTGATTGATAAAATTCGCCAATGGATACCCTTGGCTCTACAAGGAGGGGAGGAGTGTAGTACCACGGCCCGACTCGTCCGTGTACGACCCATCTCAACTAACATTGATCTCCCTGACCTCCATCTTGCCAGACGTCTGCTAGACATAGCCTGTCTTGTTGACCTAATCTGGAGGGATTTGTCAGGTAATTCGTCGACCATTACGAAAATATGCAAAAGTGATGTCCAAGGTAAAACTGCCTGATTCTGAGTTTGTGAATACTAATAATATAATCCACATTGAGACAAAAATTCAAGTCATTTTTTTCAACATCTTTTTCTCGATTCATATTTTTGTTGATCATCGGAATTTAGCGCGGCCGGAACACGATCTTAGACGCTTATGAAAAAATAAAAATGCCATAATTTTGTCAAAAATCAATGAACCGAAACGACATTCAAACTTGATCTGTAACTCATCAGGATACATTCACATACCAAATTCAGTTCAATATCTACAAGTGTTTAGAAAAAAGTGCGGAAATCCAAGTAGGACATACTGACAGACAGACGGGGACAGCTAGACGGACGGAAAGACGCAGAGGAAACCTATAGACCCCTCCGGTTTCACGTGTAGGGCACTAATAACCTGCCTCTTGTTAGAAAAGTACATGTATCATTCTTTTGTGTTTCGAAATCGTAAATTAATCGAAGATATAAACTCCATATACAGTTGATAAAAGAAGGTGCCTCCCAAACAATGTAACAACGCAACGAGGGTTCAAAATAGAATTTCTTTCAAGTTGAATTATTTAATTTTTATTTATAAATTTAAATCTTTTTTCTGTAATATTTACATTTCCAATGTCCTTGTTCGAAATAAAACTACAAATAGTTAATGCACTTTATTATTTCTACATGTACATAAATGTACTGCTTCATCGATAGGCGCGGTTAAAAAAAAATAATGTTCAAGGGGAGGAATAGCTAGACAGTAGCAGGGCTTGTAGCACGTTGACTGACGAAATTAAGAGCATGTAAATGACATGTAGGTCATAACTGTTTTATTTCATGGCGATAATCAATCGATTGTATGGGTCGCCGTTTTGGTATTAACTGCCAAAAAGTGATATCACCTATTCAATTGGTGATATTATCACCTATTTGATTTGAATTGGTGATATCACCAATTCGAAAAGGTGATATCACTAATTTGAATAAATGATATCACTAATTCGAATAGGTGATATCACTTATTCCTTTAGAATAGGTGACGTCACTTATTCGAATAAGTGATATCACCTAGGCCTCTTCAATTTGAATAGGTGATATCACTTAATCGAATAGGAGATATCACCAATTTAAATTATTCATGAAATAACAACAACTCCCAAGACTATAGGTCCCTAAATCTTATTTACTTTCACTTTCGTTTTAAAAATCATAATTCCTGGAGACAATGGATTACAATTTTACATTTAATTTTACTCAACTCGAATAGAAATTGTAGTTTGTTTTGCTCACAAATTAATTTATTTCACTTATCTATAACGTAAACTTTAAGAAAAATTGGAAAAAGGCATGAAAACTGGGTAGTCCGCGGTGATATCACCTATTCGAATTGGTGATATCACCAATTAAATTTGAATATTTGATATCACCTATTCGAATAGGTGATATCACCTAATCAGCACGAATATCACATATTCGAATAGGTGATATCACTTATTCAGCACGAATAGGTGGTATCACATATTCGTTTCCAATAGGTGATATTACCATGCAATTCGAATAGGTGATATCACCTATTAGAATAAGTGATATCACCTATTCGAATAACTGATATCACCTATTCGAATGAGTGATATCATTTTTTGCCAGTGAATACCCAAAACGGTGCCTCATACTATTGGCGTGTGTGTGAGTGTATGCATAACGCCTTCGGTGTAATAGACAAATATCACAGAACAGTCGATTAATAAAGTTATTTTTAAAAAAAACATTTGATACGAGGATTTATTTTCTACCATATGAAAAGGGAAGAAATGGTAAATGCTAAAATAAATCAGGAAACTTTAATTACTAAAAATAGATTATCCAAACTTTTAAAGCAGAAACAATTTTGGACGATGCATTTCAAGAAGGTAAAAAAATCATTCTACATATCCTTATTTTTACTTTAAACATTTAATAAAATAGATTGATAAACTTCAGTTCAAGCAATATTAAATTCTCTCTCTCCCCAGTTCAAATTATTAAAGAAATTTCTATGTTTTTTAAAACAATAACTTAAATATATTTTCTAAGCAAGACTCCACAAGAAAAGCGGATTTTTTCTATAAATAGTTCATAAAGATATTACATAGTACTATAAAACCAAGTTATTTACAGGAAAAGTTAGTCTGTGTGTATAAGTCGCCGAAACACGTAAGAAATGTATCTTCAAAGCCGCCAATATATATATTAATTTATAAAATTTTTGTTCATCAAATTCCTTTTAAATATACATGTAATGCAATGCACAGCAGTAAGAAAATATTTTAATATGACATATATATATATATATATATATATATATATATATATATATATATATATATATATATATATATATATATATATATATATATATATATATATATATATATATATATATATATATATATATATATATATATCACATACAAGTTTATTTGGTTAAAGGACCTGAATTAAACATGAATAGGGTTAATGTTAATATCAGAGATAGGGTTAGGGTTAAGCTACAAGGTTTAGTACCAGTGTTATTTATAGCTTGATGACGCGACCTCTAAAATAGAAAGCACATAAACTAATAGGCAAGCTTTCTTTTTAGTTTCAGAGAAGTGACGCTCACAGGAAAACCGTTTTCTAAAAATAGTTCATTAAGATATAAGACCCAGAAACTTACTGTCTGCGCAATTATAACTTTAGTGTCTGTGAGTCTGCAAGCATAAGTCGCCGAAGCAGGTAAGACAAATATTATCAAAGCCACTTTCAAAGAATAAAGATAAATAAATATGAAGGAATGATAATTATATACAAATGTTAAATGTATCCGTCGTATCTTGAAAATTGAAATCCATGAAAAGATTTTATATATTTTTCAATGAATGATCAATGGCTTTTTAACTTCATTATCTTCCAGTATTAAGAATAAAAAATTGATATATTTATATACCTTGTATATCAAGCATGGTCAAATGATGTGTGTCGAACAACAGCAATTTACTTAATTTTATCGATTTCAGAAAATTCGGTATCTCTATTAAAGATGGGTTGCTGGAGAGTTTTAAAAATCATCTTCTTATTGGCGTTGGAGATAGCGGATCTCGTTTTAGACTGGGACTTTTACTATGAAGTAAGCAAAACAGAGGATATCAGTCTGAAATTAAAATACAGCATCCTGGGCTTTGCCATCTTTGGGACAATTTTATTTCTGTGCATATTTATCAACAAGATGGTGATATACTGCAGCGATGATGACGAAGAAGATGACGCATGCGCATTGGGTTTCTCATTTGTATCAACCATGTTTGAGGACCTGCCACAAATCTTATTGGCTATTTTGGTTGCCTTAACGACTAAAGAACTGATATCTCCTATTCAGATCGCAAAAGCTGGCTACGCAATCGCAGAACCGGTGATTCAGATAATGTTTACTTCATATCAGATTCAAAAAATAAGGAAAGACAAATATGATGACAATAGTTGTAAACAGTGTTGTAAAGTAATGGAAATTATTATTAGTATTGTTCTTGCAATGTCTTCCTGTTTCCTACTGATTCATTTATTACACCCATTTATTGAGAAAGTTACCCTTTAAATTTTGATTTGCTTGAAGTATTTTAAAATAGAGAAGGGACTTTGATTTGTAAATGAGCATTAAAGATACATGTAAAAAAAAATCAAAATCTGTTTATGAATTTAAAAAAAATATTAAAAAACCACTTCTTTCAGGGTTTTAATGCTTTATTTTAATTATTACTTTCCATATATCCATGCAGAAGTATATTTGAATATATTATATGTAAATATTTATTATAAAGATTTTGTACAAACACCATTAGATATGTTGATGCAAAAATAGGCATTTAATCAAATTAACCAGTCAGTTTTTACAATATCTCGCAGAATAAGAATAAAATTTCGATTCTATTTTTACGTTATTTTATGCAAGAAAAACGAAGAATATTTGGTATTGTTCAAAAATTTATTCAGGCTACTGGTCGTTTCAATTAACAATTATTTGTATTTGTATTTACTACCTCTTTTTAAACTATTTTTATTATGGTTATTGTCTTCACTAATTTATTAATTGATATTTTTGGAAATAGTAGCTATTGTTTTTGTTCTTCTACGTTTGTATTGTATAATTGTAAATCTTGTAAATATTGTATGGCTATTGATATCTTATGTATGGGAGAGGACAATCTAAGTTTTTTAGCTCACCTGAGCCGAAGGCTCAAGTGAGCTTTTCTGATCACATTTTGTCCGGCGTCCGTCTGTCTGTCCGTCCGTCTAGCTGTCTGTCCGTCTGTCTGTCTGTCCGTAAACTTTTCACATTTTCGACTTCTTCTCAAGAACCGCTGGGCCAATTTCAACCAAACTTGCCACAAAGCATCCTTGGGTAAAGGGGATTCAAATTTGTTCAAATGAAGGGCCACGCCCTCATTCAAGGGGAGATAATTGAGAATTAGTGAAAATTTGGTGGTATGTTTTAAAAATCTTCTTCTCAAGAACCACTGTGCCAGGAAAGATGAAACTTATGAGGAAACATCCTCAAGTAGTGTAGATTCACGTTTGTTCAAATCATGACCCCCAGGGGTAGGGCGGGGCCAAAATGGCCGACCAAAGTTTTACATAGAAATATATAGGAAAATTCTTTAAAAATCTTCTTCTCAAGAATAGCAAAGCTATAATTGATCATATTTATATGGAAGCATCCTCAGGTAGTGTAGATTCAAGTTTGTTCAAATCATGACTCCTAGGGGTAGGGCGGCGCCGAAATGGCCGACCAAAGTTTTACATAGAAAAATATAGGAAAATTCTTTAAAAATCTTCTTCTCAAGAATAACAAAGCCATAATTGATCATATTTATATGGAAGCATCCTCAGGTAGTGTAGATTCAAGTTTGTTCAAATCATGACCCCCCGGGGTAGGGCGGGGCCAAAATGGCCGACCAAAGTTTTACATAGAAATATATAGGAATATTCTTTAAAAATCTTCTTCTCAAAAATAACAAATCCATAAATGATCATAGTTATATGGAAGCATCCTCAGGTAGAGTTCATTCAAGTTTGTTCAAATCATGACCACCAGGGGTAGGGCAGCGCTAAAATGGCCGACCAAAATTTTACATATAAATGTATAGGAAAATTCTTAAAAAATCTTCTCCAGAATAGCAAAGCCATTATTGATCATATTTATATGGAAGCATCCTCAGGTAGTGTAGATTCAAGTTTATTCAAATCATGACCCCCAGGGGTAGGGCGGCGCCAAAATGGCCGACCAAAGTTTTACATAGAAATATATTGGATAATTCTTTAAAAAACTTCTCAAGAATAACAAAGCCATAATTGATCATATTTATATACTAGTATGGAAGCATCCTCAGGTAGTGTAGATTCAAGTTTGTTCAAATCATGACGCCCCAGGGGTAGGGCGGGGCCAAAATGGCCGACCAAAGTTTTACATAGAAATGTATAGGAAAATTCTTTAAGAATCTTCTTCTCAAGAATAGCAAAGCCATGATTGGTCATGGGACTACTTTTGGATTTAAGCTTTTCAAGTATAAACCAATTCTGCTTTTTCCTAGCCACAGTGCTCAGGTGAGCGATGTGGCCCATGGGCCTCTTGTGTAATTTGTGTCCAATCCCTTTGGCATGTTGACAATAAAATATGTTCAAAGCAAAACATGTTATTTGTTAATAAGATTGTATGATTCAAGGTATTATTTTAACAAGCTATTTCAGAGATTTCTGTGGCTCTATCTCGAGAAAAAAAAATGGAGGATGGAAATTCTGATAGGATGTGCAGATGAAGAGGGGAAATAAGGTTGACTTCGTTTCATTGCAAAAGTTTACAAGGAACTAAAGTTATCAAGTGAAATCTATGTATGCCATAAAGAAAAATATTTTCAAAACTTTTAAGAGATTAGGGTTATCACCAGAAATTCATTTTATGCAAAATATGATTTTTTTTAACTTTGGTCTTGTGACCTAAAACTCAAAGCTTTTTTTTGTCATATTCTATGTTTCATTGGAAAAACTCCATGAAAAACTTTAAATATTCTCTGAAAACCCTTTCTTACCATGTGATTTTCTGAACTCGACCTTTTGACCTCAAAATTTTGGTATTTTTTTAATTTAAATATTCCTCTTCTGAATCGATTGATGTTAATTTTCTGCGGAAGCATGAACAGGACCTGTAATAAGGTGTACAATTGCTCAAATTCCGCTGATGGTCCAACGGGTAATCAATATTATAACAATATTCATTCAAAATGTTCAAAGGAAATCTGTGATAAGTAGAGTAGATTCATGCAACAAGTAAATGTGACAAGTGATTTTGTTTACATGCAGGACGTATTTTATCATATTTTGCACCACGTCATGCGGCATAGCCAACTCTGCAGAAACCATGTATAGGCATTATCACGTGACAAAACTCTAGGGCATCAGCACGTGGTTCATCTTCATTTTGATGACATTAATTTCTCATATTATCCATTGAATTTTTTACATCGATAAATCTATTGGATAAGCAAATGCACTAAATTTTCTATTAAATTTGTAAAAATATTTTTTTATTTAGTGATCAAATCTAAATCAATATAAACCTTGAATTGCCTTTAATCAGGCTTTTATCACTTTACAAAACTTATTTCTAAGCATTGGTTGACTGCAGCATTTACTTTCGATTCTTTTTCAGAGAAGTGTCAGAAACTGGAAAAACTTGTACATATGCCAAGAGATTCTGCTATTCGATATAAAAATAGATCGCAGCTCTATTAACAGAACAAAAACCAGTTTGAATTTCCAAGACTATTTTTAAATTCTCTATCAGACTTGGATTCTTGAAAAGGCAAGGTTGGCGTTAACACTAGTCGACAATTCAAAAAAGGTAAGAGAGAGCTTTGAGAATTTTAAAAATAAATTTCGTTTTACTCATTGTGCACGCTAAATGAGATGAATGTGAACTAAACAACTAATGTTAAATTGTATTAGGAAATCTTGGTGTTGTTTTACAAAATATTACTGAAGCCAACAGCATAGGTATAGACATTTACAAATTTAAATATGAACACTTAACATAATGAATTAAAAAGATCTATAACAGCTGTTGTTGAATAACGCGATGTTTATAAGATGTCTCTATAATTGTTGAATTTTACACCCAAGAAGATGTGTGAGACGAAAGTTGGAATATTTTTACTCTCCATGTTTTCGGAAATTATGGACCTCGTTTTCGATTGGGATTTTTTCTATAAAGTCGACAAAACATCTGCTGTTGGGAATGAGGTAAAAAGCGCCATTCTAGGTTTTGCTATTTTGGGAACTATTTTATTTGTGTTTACATTTATAAGCCAGTCGTGTGATGCATGCAGCGATGAAAAAGAAGGAAACATTTGTACACCGACACTTTCATTAATTTCGACTGCATTTGAAGATTTGCCGCAAATAATTTTAGCAATTGTAGTTGCTGTGAACACTTCTGAACCTATTTCTTGGATTCAAATTTTAAAGGCGCTGCATGGAATTGTTGAGCCTGCATTACGGATATCTATGATAATAGAGGAATTAGAGAAAAGCAGAAAGAACTTCAGAGAGTCCCCATGTCTGTGTGCTAAGAACTGTGATCTGTGTATAAGTGTTATAGTTCTGATGTGCTCCATTGGACTGCTTATTGAGCTTGCATTTGACTTTTTCCATTAATAAATTAATATTTCTGTATCTGATAAATCTTACTGTAAGAGATTTTGTTTCTTAATTTTCAAAGATCACATTTGTATGACCTTATCTTCCTGTCTTCGAGAAACAAGATAATTACTGCATGATGGAGTGAACATTTAGCGTGTCGCAAATTTAGCGATTTCTTCCCAGAACTGGTTTAAATTTTTAACTTAGAAGAAACTAAAAAGTCACAGGTCATTCGGTTTTACATAAAATGACATATTCTTTCATCTATCAGTCCTCTAAATTTAAATTTGTTGTATATAATAATAACTAATATATAGATTAGATCATCCAAAAAATTGTCTCAGTGGTCAGAATTAAATACTTCAGATAAAGAAGAAATACACGGACACTTGAGTAAGTCTTTAGGTCTTTCATTTTATCTTCAGAAGTTTTACAAAATAAACTTCATTATACAAGGAAATGCAAACAGGAAATAAATAACATAATTATATATTTTCTCCACTGTAACAAATAACATACAGTAATTACACTATGTGGATTTTTTATTTTTTATCGTATGATGAGTCACAGGCCCTTTGGTGGAGATGGAGAGAGAGGGGATAGGGTGACTGCAAACTAATTTGCCTACACTCGCTAAAATCTTAAAAATACACATTTATGACTTGAAAATTGTCCTTTTTGAAGTAATCATTTCATTTTACAACTATGAATACTTCATACATGTAAAAAGACCGCAACTTCTAACCATTTTTTTGGGCATTAACATATTCCTAGCTCAATTTTTTTTTTCGCGAGAGCTAAAGCAGAGGGAAAAACCCAACACAAGCATATTTTAATTGAATTTTGGGAAACACTTTACATATGCATGTATGTTATATCACCTTTTATAATGAAAATTATATATATCTATGGCACGCCAAATTCACAAAAATGAGATAATCATGGTTTCACAGTCGATATACTAGGTTTATCGGTTGTAAACTATAGTTTA